TGACCTCTTTGGGGGTCAAATGACCCTTTCACAGGGGTCACCTAAGACCGTCTGCATATCAGATATTTATATTACGGTTCTTAACAGTAGCAGAATTATAGTTATGGATTGGCAATGAAAATAATTTTATGGTTGGGGTCACCGTAACATGAGGAACTATATGTTAAAGGGTCACAGTATCAGGAAGGTTGAGAACCACTGCCTTAGAGGAACTCCTTTAGTCATGTAGGGGAAGTTGAGTTGGATCATTAGGGTTTCAGGAGCATGAATGTCACCTTGTAGAATGTACTGGAAAGGAATAATAAAGAAAGTATCCTGGCCTGTTCTTCAGGCGGGTGACCATCAATAGAACTCTTCCTTGGCCGCTGATCAAACAAATAGTTGCAGTTCAAGTACGACCCAAGACAGATAAGACTAGTGAAATGGGCAAGGCTCAACTGGGGTATTTGCCAAAGCACAAGAGAAGATGAGAACCTCTGGAGACCAGAACTCAATGTGCAGAGGCTTTTGTCCTTTGCGGGGGCTGCTTCGTGGTCAGGGCCCAGTTGCTGGGTAGAGAGCACGCAGATGGAGGCAAGGATGAGGACCAGGTGTCAGGAAAGGGCTCCTAGAAAGACACGGCACAGCGCAGTCCCATCATCTAAAATCACCTCTGGGTGTCTGTGAGGGTATTTCTAGACTGAGTTCATTGAAGTGGGAAGATCCACCTTAAGTGTAGGCAGGACATGAGATTCCGCAGGTTGGAGCCTCAGCTGACTAAAAGAAAAGTCAATGGAGTCCCAGTACGTCTCCTTCTCTGCTCCCTGACTGTGAATGCAGTGTGAGCAGCTGCCTCGCACTCCTACCACCCTGACTCCCCTCAAACTGTAAACCAAAACAAACCCCTCCTTCCTTAAGTGGCTTTCCTGGGGTGTTTTGTTTCAACAATGAGAAAAGTAACTAATGCAGCATCCAGTTCACAGCTCTTGGGTCTGGAGTCTCGGTGCTTTGAGTCAGGCTGGGATAAAGACCGGGCAGGTAAGCCAGGCCTTGCCCACAGCGCAGGGACTCTGACCTAGGCGAATTGGAGGGACCCCACCGCAGGGTGATGGACCTAGCTATTGTCCTGAGTGGTAAGCTCCCAGGTGTAACTATGCCATGCTCTTGGAGCGGATCCTCACTCTTGTGTAGCCACATTCATGGGCTGGGGATGCCTTAGTCCTCCAGTGGGGAACTCGCCTCCTTTGGCGGAGCATCCATTTTCTTCTGTTGCCAATAAAAATCCCAGTCCTGTTCTTTCTCCTCCGCTTCCCTCCATTGCTTCTGACAGAGTTTGCCAGTTAGCTGAGGTCAGGATTTCCTTTTTACAAACAACCTGCTTTCAGTCAGCGGGGCCAGAGGTTTCCTAAATTACAAACGCTTTCATTTCTCCTGCCGCAACTCATCCTGTCAGTCTGTATAATCGCCCAGAATGGAGGGGACCGGAAATGCTCAGGGAGACACCAAAAGAAAGATGTGCTCTTATGAATGCACTGCTCTGCGGGTCAGAAAAAGACCCTGCATGGATCGGCTAGACTGTTGTAACTGATGCTGCCAGTGTCTGCAGGGAAATTCCTTCTGCATCTGAAGTGGACCAGCAGTGTCTCTTGTCTCCAGGTTCTGTTAAGCAAATGGCCTCCTTTATAGTGATTTGAATTGAGAAACATCTATGTCATATGCAAATGTTTTGAAAAGCAAAGTAAAATGTCATTGGGAAACATGTGTCTGTTTACCTTGCGTTTGTAAATGTTGATTGGAAGAAAAATTTCAAAGCAAAAGAATGACCTGGGATTGAGACACTGGGTTTAAAAAGAAAAAAAAAAAAAAGGCCTGGCTCCCATCCTCTCCACTTGACAACCACTCACAAGGGAAAATTAATTTTCTTCAGTGAGGTCTCACTAGGTATGTTAGCCACACTTATTGGAAGGCCTCATTCCTAGAAGTAGATGGCCAATACAAAGTGAACTCAGTGGTATTTTATTTTGTACCAGACTGCTTCACTTGGGCATTTTTTACTTTAGTGGTCTTTTGCTTGCATATTATGGTTTCTGATTTTTTGGGGGATGCTTTTTTTCTTGTGTGTTTTCTATTCATTCATTCATTCATTCATTCATTCATTCATTTTTTTCCTGCTTATTTTCTAAAGAGGGAGAAAAAAGCATGGAGTTGAGTAGTTGGGGACAGGTGGAAGATCCGAGAGGAGTCGGGGGAGAGGAGAGTATGACCAGAATATATTGTAGGAACAAAATACTTTCAATTAAAGACAAAACACAGTCAGAAAACACTGGAAAGTGTACTAACAGTGCACAGGAGCTCATGTAGGCCCTGAAGCCTGGACAGGGACTCTAACTCAACCTGGTGGTTAGTGACAGGTCATCGAGGTGACAAAGCCAACTTTGACTGGCCTTACAGCTCAGCTCAGGATATTTTCATGATCCAGCAGGGAGTGTTAAGGTCATGACTTTCCCTTATTTGATGGTGACCTTTCCATGGGGAGGAGGATGCAGCCCCTGAGTGTAAAGCATTTAACACAAGTCTTATAATCTACACAGCACAGCAAGCCAAACTAGACAGCTCTGGGCCCCAGCATCATAAGGAAGCAGCCATCTGGGGAAGTGTTCACACCAGAAGGGCCGAGAGTGCCTTTTCCTAGCCTAAGTATTGTTTCTGTTCATTTTTCCTAATCTTTCTCCCATGATGGGGCTGTGGTCTTGATCCTCTAAATAGCATTGAGTCTACATTTTACCCTAGCCTCTTTTGTTTCCTGGCTACTCATCAATTCTTTAAGCTTCTGGCTTCTAGTTCTGGGTTTTGTTCTCCTTTATCAGCTGGCTATACCCCTTCCCCAGTCTAGCCTGCTGTATCACTCTTCTAGTATAGCCTGACAGGCTTGCCTCTATGCCAAGTTCTGCTCAGGCCAACTTCATGCTTTGAGTTGTAGGAGCCTTGGCTAGCCTACTGCTGGTCTCCATTAGCACCACTCACAGAGACCTTTCTAGAATGTCAGTGAGTTCTTTAACATCCACCAGCCAAAGGCTTAAGAGCAGGGGCCTGTTTTTCACCTTGTTTCTAGGCCCAGACCCAGCCATGCAGAGCATGTCCATAGGGTTCTTGCTGTATTGGAGAAGTTGATTCTTCATGTGGGCAGGAAAAAAATGTATATACAAACTCATCATATAATAGGAGGTAACATTAGAAAATCCGCTAGGCAGTGGTCTCATACTTTGTAAATATTAGCTTGGTTTTCCCTTATAATCTTTGAAACAGCTCATTGTTAGTCCAATCTTAGGCAACCAAGAATTCGGTTAAATAGTTGGCTTTTCTCTGCTGGGATTGCAGCCCACAGAATCCAGTGTGCAAACCATTAGAATGCCCTGTTTCACAATGGTTTAGATAATGACCCTCTTTATCTCATGTGCACCCACATTTCACTGTGGGTGAACACATTTCACTCACTTTCCCTACATGTAACATCTTATTCAGCCTGACCATTGTTATGTCAACAAACAAAACCCAGATTTCAGATTTCCATCATCCTCATTCTAATCAGACCGTTGCTCAATGGCCTTCCCTTGGCCTAATAACCATTTCCGCCACATCTTCTCTTTCTCCACTACCCTCACTACAGCCGATGTTCTACTCAGCCTGGATGATCACTGCAATAATTAACCAAATCCAGTGACATCCCCATGTCTACCCCTCAGTGACTCCTCCTTCACTTAGAATAGTACCCATAAACTTTGTTTCCACAAGGAGCCTTTCCACCTTGACTGTATCTTATTCTTACCCCCTCACTAATTCATTCACAATCTGTTTCTACCAGCTTTACCATGAAGTCAGTTATTGGATCAAGGTTATCTTGCCCCATAGTGCCTAGCACAGTGCCACATGGGATGGCGAGTCTATGGCATAGACTTTGAACTGCCTGCCCATGAAGGCAGAGGTAGGTGGGGGAGACATTCGAGAGAAGGAGCTAACACTTTGTAGTATTAGGGGAAAGAGCTTTGCCAATGAAAAAGGGCTAGCTGTGGTGCAGGTGGACTGAGGCTAGAATGCTTGAATGTTCTGACCAAACATGAAGTAGGATTCTTGGTCTGTGTACTAACCAGAGGTATAGAAGACTGTTCATTACAGCAAAGAGAGGTAATGTTAAGAGGCAAGAACAAGCTGTATTTGGAGGCTCTGGACTACTAGAAATCTGAGCTTCAACTAATGGTCAGGGGGCAGCCCTTAAAATGGTTGGGCTGGAGGTGCCATGTTAGAAGTGGCAGAGAATTTGTCTTCAGAGTGTACAACCCCCACTTGGCCTATTCTTCATACTTTCTTCACCTAAGACCTGATAATACCATCACTTCCCACCTCTACTTGTTCAAAGATTTTCCCTTCGACTCTCATCACTTTCATATTGGACACCTAGTTATTCAAGTGAATTGGTGTAGTGAGCGCCTGTGAAAAATCTACATCACAGGGATGATGAACGGGCCAGACAACTGTGTGTGTTTGGTTGTCATGTATTCGTATATATGAATGTTGTGTTTCTCGGGTTGAATTCTCAAGAGAAAGTGAGTTGTACAGTTTTATAGCCCTCTGTCAGTGATTAATCTGGCAAATCACAGAGATATATGTTGTGAGTGTTCTTTTTTGATGAAACTGCCTCATATTGCTCTCCCTTAGGTATTTAAGTGGGTAGATCTATGCTCTGCAATCCAAGATAATTTATGTTTAATTCTGTTCTATCATAGATAAATTTGAGTGAGGATCCAGTTGAGGTGGTCTGGGGAAATAAAGAGCTTTTCCATTCTCCAGTCCCTGTGATGATCAAAGAACCAGCTGTTGCCTTCCAGTTCAGTTCCTAAAGGACTGATAAAGCCATCACCAGGTTGTCCTTATGACTTCCTCTGGCTGCAGGGTTCTAATGCAAACAAGATTCTGCTCCTCCATGTAATCAAAACCAGATAGATGATACTGACATTCAAGGAACATACAGTCCCGCACAAATCAAGTTTATTAATTTAAACACAAAATTAATGAAGAAAAAAATCTGTACACAACTGTGGACACACAAAGCCCCCCCCCCTTTTTTTTCTTTTACAGTAAGGCCAAGATCAAAGCTGTCTTTTTAGTCTTCACAGAGTACAGAAACATCAAATGAAGAGGCTTAAAAACCATCCACTTCTGTCTATGCCAGGTGAGACAGGAAACGGATTCCATTATTCACTTTAACAATTTGGAGAATTCACAATGACTAATTTTTAGCAGCAACATGGACTTTTAGAAAAGGAAAGGGTAGAGTGGTTTGTCTGCTACTCCAGGTCAAACCCAGAGTAATAATATTAGACAAAATTGATCCAAAGGATAATTTCATGGCAACACGAAGTCCAAGATGAGAAAGAATCCTGCCCATACAAATTCATCATTTTGGAAGAATCTTTCTTATAGCATGACAAACATGATCATTTGTCATCAGCCCCCACACTCCAGATTTATGTCTGTCATGTTATAAGTAGAAAACAACATCGCAACATTAGTGTTTGTGATGATGGCCAGACACACCCACTGTGGGTAATGAGGAGGGAAAGACTGAGCAGAGGGACTGACGGGAAGTGTTGCTGACACATCTATGTGGTAATGTCCTCTTTGATACAAATAAGAAACCCAGACACAAAACCCAGACACAATAATAATTCTGAGCACATGAAAACTCTGCTAGGCTCCAATTAATTTTATTAATAAAATATATCTATCATCTATATTCTTTCTGTGGGATGAAGAATTCGAATAATCATTCTTTTCCAAGTAGTTACATATAATACATTAGTGTTGAAATGAGAAAGGGAGGTGGGCCGGAAGACTTTAAAATTTTTTTCAGTTATGAAATTGCTGTGTTATTTTTATCAAGGCCCTTCTAACCAACACTAAAAAAAAATTAGAAAAATTGATGGGATAAAAGATTGGGAAAATAAAATCCTTGTTGACACTTGACATTCATGCTTTTGGTCTTAGATAACATTATCAAAAAGATCCATTATCTACAATATTTATACCCAATACTTAGCTAAGGCACTGCAGGAGTTTGTGCCCAAGCTTCCTATGAAGGCATTTCTACCTCCTAATAGCATTTCCCTAAACAGAATGTAAAAGAATCATCCATTATTACAAATTTACACCAAAACTTCTTTCTGTACACGATTGTCTCAGTGATGTACATTTTACATGTTTAAATTAGACATACTTTAAACTACTTTGCAATGTGCTAAAATTCAAAGTACTTGCTGTATTGTCAGGCAAAGGCCTTTTCATTGATTATTTCTTATACTATTGTCCTTTCAGCTGTTTGATACTGAGAAGTCTGTCTTGGTGAATTATACGGTATGTGAATTATACTTCGGCAAATCTGTTTCTTGAAAGTCTTTTCATAAATAAGTAGCAACGTACAGATTGCCCTGGGTAGGAGACACCAAAAAGTAAACCTTTGAGAGGATCCCTCCACTGATGTCCAGGAGACACATCTCAGTCTCTGTTGTGGAATCAAGTTTGCTGGGTTGGAGAAGCTGTTTATGTCACATTTGCTGAAAACCAAAGTGTCTGTAGGTCTTTTCTTCACAGGTTTGAACCATGTAGTTAATGTAGCCAAGACACATCACACTGTGCTAGAACATTCTCATGGCTTATTTTCATTGGATTCACAGTACTAGAGTCAACAGCTGTTCTGAAGAAATACACATGGTCCTCCATTAACCTGGAGGGGAGCAGTCAAGACCACAGCAGTCATTCATCCATATGTTGAAATTGGTACATTCCACAGTCCAGCACTGACACAAGACTGAGGCCTGCTGGATTGTCTCTGGCCACAGGGCAGTTGCGCAGTGTCAAATTGGCATGAGGCTGTTACAGGTACTCTAATTCCAAGGCATGATGCAGGGCCATGAGGTCCGAGTGACTGGAGACCCTCCAGAAGGGCATAGCATGCTGCAGAGGGCAGACATATGGTAAGGACAGAGAACCTGACCCACATAAATCCTCCCATTTCCTTCAGAGAGACACTGCTCTGCTCACCCCCATTTCAGTACTGTAAAAACCACCAGCCAGCACACGCATGTCACACACACTTAAACCACAGAGAACAATGGTGTGAGAGTAGTATCCATTTCTCCCTACTAGAATGCCACTGTGACTTGAATGATAATTCCAAACTTTAAATAAAAGTCACTGAAAAGAAACCGGTGCTCTTTGATATATGTCCCTTGTGGTTGCCAATGTTGAAAGTTTACAAAGCTTATACTTCATGGGTTGAAACATTCTCCTTAGTTGGCAGGATTTTACATTTTTTTCTAAATACAATCTTGCTCATAGATGGAGCAACTTTTCTTCTTCATGACTATTCCATGTGGGAAAAAACTGCAAATGCACATCTAAGGTTGGTGTGAGTGTGTCTGCAGTTGTTTAAGCCATTAGGGCACAGATCAAGTTCAGACAGAAGTGTCTGGGAACCCCTGAACAAAGCCGTCGTCCTGGAAACAGGGTGTATACCTCCTTCCACGGAGGCTAGAGCAGACTGCTGCTCAGAAGCATTTGAAGAAGTATTTACGTGGCAGCAAGATCTTTCTTGGAGAGCAACATTCTGTTTTCTTCACAGGAAAACAGATTCCTCTCACACACAATCATCTAGAGGCAGATGTATGATTTACAACTATAGTTCTGAAGAATTTGAGGAAATTTTATAAGAAGTAGAAAATCTGTCACGGAAGCTGGATTTTAAAGATTTGTAGGTAGTCTGATATAGCTCATGAAGCTGTTATATAATGGTGCACACATTATTTAATATATTTATAAATGATATTCATATTATTAATATGCTCAAATTACCTGCTAAAGTCTTTTCCTGCATTCTCTAACTCTAATATTGAGCATTCCCGACTCAGTCTTCTGACAGGCATCTATATATCTCTGTTACGTGTCAATAAGAGAATAGTCCAGAAATGAATGCCTAAAATCTCCACAGATATAGAGATAGCTCCCTTGGCACTATTAGGTTGTAATCTGTACCATGGCTCATTTATTTAATCAACAAAGATTATCTTTTGTGTTTCTGGGCCCATGGTCTAGGAATAGAAGAGTCTGAGACATAGACAGTGCCAGCTCACCCTCTCAGACTGTGAAACGCAGGAATTCCTCAGTGTGTTAATAGAGTAGGGAACTAGGGAAATACCCCAAAGAAGAAAGGGACAGTTGAGCTGAGTGTGGGAGGTGACCATTTGGAAGGGTACCCAGATGGCTCTGCGGCTTGAGGCATAGATAACGGAGATAAAGGAGAACTTCACTGACACTGACTAGGTGTGGGAGAAAGATACAGCTGGCTGGAAAAGCCAGAGGGTACAGGCCCCATACACTCTAAATCACTTTATTGACAATAGTGAGTTTTGCTGCATCGGCTGCTGTTCTGTCAGGCTGTGTATAAGGTGACTCAGTGGTAGTATCATTATTCTACTATGGAAGGAAGAGAAGAGAGAGGTTTAAGTGATAGCAGGTAAGGACCGAAAGTAAGATTCCTACCAGGGCTGGGCTAAGTCTGAAGCTTAGATGCTACCGTGCTCTGCTCCTTGTTCCTTGCGGCCTTTTTATGTAGCTGCAAGCTCGCAGCACCATGGCAAGGCCGATGTACACAGAACCCTGTTTCTCCCTGTTGATAGCAGATACTGGAAAGTTTGAGTGACCGATTCACAGAGGAGGGTGGTGAACTGATCACCTGCCATACAGAAAGCTTTCTTCCTTTTTCTTAATAGAACGAATTCCTGCATATCGTAGAACACTTTAAGACTATAGAACCATGTAAATAAATATAAATCACTTCTTCCCTTAACATTAAAATACTAAACAATAAACCACTGTAAGCATAACTATATTTTGATATATGTATATACAAAAATATGCATATATACAATTTGTACTATTCAGCATGCTCACTGGATCTTTAACTCATTTTAGATACATAATTTTTTAAAGAAAGCTATTCATTATTTTCAACCTGTAGTTGATTTAACTGCCTCCATAGTATCTATATTTATAAACTTTGTTTTTGTAATTAACTTGTTTTTTCATACCTTATTATTTTTGAAAGTTTTACTTTAAATTTTGTATGTGTGTATGTGTGGGTGTGTGCATATAAGTGCAGGCGCTCTTGGAGGCCAGAAAAGGGTACTGGGTCCTCTGGAGCTCGGGTTGCAGGCAATTGTGAGCCATTTCACTTGGATTCTGGGGATCAAACTCAGGTCCTCTGCAAGAGAGCAAGTGTTCTTAAGTGCTGAGCCCTCTCTCCAGACACTTCTTTATGCTACTGTTAGTGATCCATTCTCCAGAGCAGCTGCTCATCTCTATTCATCTTATTACGTACAGGTACTTCAGGAGGCTAGTAGCATGCTGAAGGCTCTTTAGATGGCCGGCCAGAAGCTTTAGAACATCCACCTTCTCAAACACATAAACTACTTGTGGGAGCTTGAGTGCTCTGGAGGGAAGTGTGTTTGCCTCAGATAAGTCCCCTTTACATACAACTACCATCAGTTCAAATCTGAAAGCTACTGCTACACTGTGGTGTGAGGAATGACATGAGTGACAGAGACGTTGAAAAGGGAACTGAAAAAAAGAAATCCAGTGACTCCATTGACAAGTTAAGTTGCAAAATAGGCACTTTGATTTATAGGCTGCAAAATCACCTCTGGGTGTACTGGATGCCAGCGAGAGCACACTTAGACTGCTTAGCTTTAAATTCAAATAACAATATCTAAAAAGAAGGAATTATTCAGAGTCCTGAGTTAGATTGTTTTCTAGCATTGAGATACCAGGAACTTTACTCCTTAGAGTATTAATAAACCCAGACCAAGCTGCACCCTGAAAACTACACCTGTGGTATAAGATAGCTCATCTCAGTGTAGGGGCATCGAAGCTGCTCCTGGGAATAAACCTGTCAAAGGTTTTGGATGAAAGCTGACAGATCCTAGAGACAGCTGCACTGAGAATATCATCTCCAGCCTCAGCACCATCTGCTCAGAGGAAGAATGGATAGTGATGTCTGCTGTGGTGAGCAGTTTTGTCCTCATAGAAGCAGAGGGGCTCTATGCAGCATCCACAATAAGTATTTCTTCTATAAAACCAAAAAAAAGGGGTGCCAAAAGAAAAAAAGAGAAGCACATGGCTTTGGAGAAGCCTGAGCTCAACTCCTCCCCATTAACCCAATGAGGTTCCTTTACGGCGCCATCTTCCCAGGGCTCCAGTTTATCAGTAAATGAACTAGTTAGTGTAAATGATTCGTGGTTGCTTCCAAGTTTAGAGTTAAAATAAAGGCCATTACCCGCGGATCACTGTAGCTGCAGCGAGAACCAATAACACAAGAGCATGCCCCCATGGCTCAGGACCACTGGGCCGAGAAGGCAGATCAGATCGACTGGACCATCTCATCACAAGTGAGGCATTGTGAAAATAAGAACAAAAATGATGACTGCAAAGACAGGGAGGCTCAGCAGCAAGCTGGGATACCCAGAGTTGGAAGAATGAACGAAGATGGGGGGGATGGGCAAGGGTGGGACTCCTGGGTGGATACACAAAGGTGATGGTGACCAGATAAAAGGGGTTCAGGAAGCATCTTCTGTAATTAGCCTGGAATGTCAACAGGCTGGAATGGTCTGTTCATTACACAGACTAAGAAGGAAGGACGCTTTTCAGGGAGCCTGCTCTGAGAATATAACGAAGGAGTTTAGATTTTTATCTTGTAAATGAATGGGAAGGGAGCCTAATATTTGCTGAATGCCTCAAAACAAAGGGAAGGAGGGACTTAAAACTATTCAGGGGCCAGAGAAAGGGAGATTTGGAGGTGTGACTAGCTCCTCACAGAGAAAACTGCCTTGTCCTTAGTATGCAGGGCAGGAGACACACAGAAAAGAGCGGCATTGGAGTGGTCAGTGCCTGAGGGACACCTGAATTCATTTGGTGAGGTCAGACACCGGGAGGGACAGGATGTGTCTGATGGAAATGGAGATACTCATCATCCCTAACAAGGGGGAGCTGAAGTGGGCAACGAAGCCTAAAGGAGCATAGGCTTGGGAGTCTTTAGACCAGAGTATGTCCCAAGGGGAACACAATGACATGTCGTTCCTGCTCTTCTTGCTTGTTGGCACAACTCTTCAAATCTCCTTCCCTCTGAAAGTCTACATTTACTCCTTCTGGTCACACATGACATCCATCATATAAAAAAGCCATGTGCATGGCTGTTCCCATGGAAACTGAAGTTTGCACAATTAATAAAAATGCATTAATAAAAATCTCCTATAATAGAAGAGCCTTTCCTTGCTGGCACAAATATTGCACTTTCAAGAATGTACTCACAGAATGTTCACTGAGGATCTACTTGTAGCACTAAACGCTAGAACCCCCAAAGGGCTGGGAAAATCATAATAGCACATCCACACGGTAGCACACTGGTATGGCCACTTAAAGGATTAGTGATGCAGCGCTCTGTGTTCTGGTACAGATAGCTGCCAGGACAGACTGCTCAGTGAGAGAGGAAATGCAGAGAAAATACGCGGAATTACCATCTGTGTTTCAAAAACATAAAGCCTATCTGAGCTGTGCACACATGACTGCTTGCATCCAGAGGTTCAAATAATTCTGCAGTTGTAAATAAAGAGACCTCAAAAGATTGATGACTCTAACAGCGCACGGTAAAGACACAGCCCAGCATTGCGCATTTAGTCCTTGTATCTCTGCTTCCTTTTAGGCCTGTGGTTCTCACCCTTCCTAATGCTGCGACCCTTTAATACAGTTTCTCAGGCTGTGGTGACCCCAACCTTAAAATTATTTTTGTTGCTATATCATAACTGTAATTTTGCTGCTGTTTAGAATTGTAATGCAAATCTCTGTGTTTTCAGATGGTGTTAGGCAACTCCTGAGAAAGGGTCCTTCAACACCCAGAGGGTCATGACCTGCAGGTTGAGGACTGTTGCTTTAGGCAAAGAGAGCCAAGACCTAGCATGCAGGATGGGATAATTAAGTGTGAACAAACAACTTTGCAATAATAAACTAATCTCTACATAGTGTCCAATCTCTGTGTCCCCCTTAAATAAAAAACAAAGAATTAGATTATATTACAAATGTGTTCTTTTTTCTCTTTTCCAACAAAGGTGGCTTTCTCCAGAGTTTAAAATGAGGCACTACTGGCCAGGTACTCGGTTTAATTTTGGATCTCAGCAGGTTTTGGAGTGCACATTTAAAAGGGACAGCTTTTAAATGAAATCTTGGTCAGAACAGAGAATAATGGGTGCTTGTCATTTTTACCTACTACTCATTGAAGATTTAACTGGGTCTCCAAAAAAAATTAATCTAGCAATAAAAACTAGATATCACTATTTAATCATTCTGATTTTTAAAGTTATACCCGTGCTTAATTAGCTCAATCAAGCCAAGTTGTATCTTCATTTCCAAGGAAGTACTTTTCATGATACAAATTATGGAGTTCGACTGAATTACTTAGGAAAATCTGGCTGCATTAATGGAAGAATCAGCAAGGGGCGCCTGGACAACAGCTTACCGGTTTCTGGATTTGAAGGGCCCTCTCTAGCCGAAGAATATGATTTAGGCAGATAAAAGACATCTCTCTACAGGGATGAAGAGAGAATGCAGCAGCACTTTTAAAAGAACACAGAAAACTGAGAAGCCAGCTAAGCCGTTAAAATTGGTTTTGAAGAAAGGCAAACATGTTATGATTTTGATGTGAATGCTCAAATGTGCAGACCTTCCCAGGGAGGGGCGCTTGCTCGCTGCTAATTCTGTTTAGTTTTTTCAACCACTTGGTAACTAATATATCAGAATGATGGCGTGGTTTAGAGGGAGAACGCTGTCCCTGGGTAGGATGGGCAGAACCGAGCTCTAGATACCTGTATGCAAACATCTGCCTGGACAGACAGCTAAGTGAAAAAACAACCACCGTGTACAACAAGGAGAAAGGAGACACCTGTGTAGGTGTCTACCTCACCCAACGAAGAAACAAATGTACCCAGCATGGAATCTTAACAAGCCGTATAACTTTTTAAAAATGAAATATTAGCACGCTTGGAATGAGTTTATAGTTTGAAGGAGCATTGGCTTCAAATCACAGTTTGGTCAATACCTTGCTATCTGATTCAGCCATTTTTTTTTTCTTTCTCTCTTTTTTGGTTTGGTTGTGGTTCTTTGAGATAGGCTCTTACTCTAGTCCAGGCTGTCCTGGAGCTCCCACTTTCCTGCTTCATCCCGTGAGGACTGGGGTTAGAGGCATGTGTCACCAGGCCCCAATGAGTCTGTTTTCTGTCAAATGGGTCAAAGAGGACACTTCTCTATAGCATCATTGTGAAGTGGTAATGAGATACTGGAGGGGAGTACCTGAAAATGGGGGTGGGCTGTGGAAGGAGTTTTAGAGCCGGTGCCCCATGTTCCCAATCAGGCTCTGATCTTGGGCCCAGTGTGGGTAGCCATTTCCAGTCACGTCGTTCCTTTGACCTTGCCTATGTGTTTATCTTACAAGCGACACTGTGCCTTTCTACTCTTTTCCCCCTTTAAGTTAATTATTAAATAGTCCTCGCTTCGGGGTACAACTCAGCTTGAAAGATACTCACATATGTCACCAATTCTGAGGTCCCTGTCTCTTCTTTCATATACGAAGAATTGCTACTTAAAAATTAGTTTCTTTTAAAAACTAGCTCAAACACTGTCTTGAAAAGGCTATGTAGTCTGTTACACATGGTTTCCAATGTTTTGCAAGGTATGAGAATCTAACCTTCTGAAAGCTGGCAATTTTATACACACGTAAGCAGGTCACAAGGTCCAAGGAGCTTCTTCCCCCACCTCACTTACCACATACATTCATTCACTCTCAAAAATCAAAGTAAAGACCATTCATAAAAATTTAAAGAGAATGTTCATTGCCGGTAGGTACCTAATTTCTTTTTGGTGTAAAATAAAAAAATAACATGTCCAAAGATAAATAGTGGAGATAATTTTATCTGCCCTTCGAAGACAGAAAATGTAGTCTTATAACACCTTTGAATTATTGCATCAGACCAGGAGTTCCTGCCTTCCATGCTGTGCTCACCAGATCTACCCATCTCAGAAACATCTCAGAAAGACCTAGGAAGAGACATGCCCACAGTGGGATTTTACCTGCTTTTGTATCTTATGTGAACACATTTACATCCCTCCTCCTGTGAAACACAAACCAGAAAGCCACACTCTGGTAACTTTCTCCTGAAATTAAAATTTGGAAGACCCAGCTCAGTGGTCAGTTGGAAAGCTGGCTTAGGGCCACAGCAGAGTGAATTGCTCAGGAGGGCCACATTGCTCAAAGGGGCAACTCTTCTCCCACGCCCTTATGGCCATTGGGAGGTTCTGTGTAGGGATGTCCTGGAAATTCCAGAAACTTTCCAAGGTGGACAACTTGAGTTTGGATTCCCACCAACCATTTTTCTTCAGTTTCCAGGATTGAGTTTGGGGAACTCTAGTTTAGTCTAGGCCGACAAATGTACCCAGCAACAGTTGTGGCTCCTATCAAGCATTAGCAGGCCAAGTGTGTGTGTGGTTTGGCCAGTGCCAAGCACATCAGTGGCATCTTCAGTATCTGTGCTCTTATTGGAATTCAGAGTCACTTGAGGTGAAGGAAGCCATCTTCAGAGATTATGAAAAGGCTGCTACATGTCACACCTGACAGTCAGTGCTACATCTGAGACCTGGAACTTTGTGTGCCATTTCTGACTAGACAAAAGGCAAAAGAACTGAATATGTTGTATCCATCATGGTGGGGAAAACAGACTCCTACGAATTAGTTTGTGGGGAAAGGAGGGGCTTTATTCATGTCAGGATAAGATGTCCTTGAAGAAACACAGAGTATAACTGTACCAAGATTTAGAGATAAATAAGAAAGTTGAAGGTAGAGTCTCTAACAAAAGACCTCCACCCCAAGATCACTGTTGTCAAAGCAGACATTCATAATTATTTGTGTAATCCTAGTTGTCATTTGTTGTCTTTGTGAGAGTCACAAAGTCTTATTAAGATCCACATGTCTTAGTGGATCTACTTGGTCAGAGAGGCTAAGGAGCTAGGTGTTGTGATAACCCCACTGGGGAGACAGAGTGAAATGAAATGGAAAGCTTAAGAAAGTGGTTCAAAGTCACAGAATAAATGGACAGCAGAGCTGGAAGTCATATGTAACCTGGATTGGCAAACAAGCTATTTCCACTACAATATCTCCGGTTCTAGTATAATTGAGCACTATTATAAAGAAAAATCCTAAAAATGAAAGAAGTATGACATGAGTTTTGAGAAACATGCCAGATAATGACAGAGGATTTGGGAAAAATATTCTGGAGGAATGTAAATTGGCACGGCAAAAGAGAGGTGTTAATGTTTGAATATGTCTCCCAGAGGTCACATGTTAGAAATCATCTGGAATTTTCTATGGTGATATTAATGGAAGGTGGGAACTGGAGGCAGTAATTAGGATCTGTTAAATCGAGCTCATGATGTGAGTGGGCAGTGTGTGTAAAAAGGAGCAATGTGACATTATAGACTTTCTACAATGATGGAGAAAGACCTTGCCCTGTGTCCACAGAGGATGTCCTCTGCTATTTTATGACGTAACAAGAGGGTCTTCATCCAATGCTGACACCATGCTCTTCAATGTTCAAGCCTCCAGAACTGAGCCAAACCAATCTGTTCCTTATAAACGATCCAATCTCAAGCATTTTGCCATAGTAACAGAAAATGGACTAAGACAGCCAGTCACCAGATGAATGTGACTGCAGTGTTGGGTAAGGACGGGGAAAGACCAGAAAGACAAGTTGTAAAGATTGCAAAGACCCTGAGTGTTGAGTAAGGGATTGGGCTCCTCTCCTTTAAGAACTGCAACAAGATGCCAAAGGAGATAGTTTCTGCTAAGGGAATGCTCAAATTACAGATGCAGAAACCAAGACACCAGTATTGGGCCACAGGGCATGTCTTCAAGTGGCTTTTATGGTCATGGCCACCTTCTCCTTTCCAGTGCTTCAAGCAAGGCAGATGTTGTCCTTATGATAGAAAGAAGGTGCAAGTCTTCTAGGGCAGTGAATTCATGCCATCTTTGCATGCCAGCTTGACTACAAGCAAACATCTTTCTAAAGTGATGCTTGAAAGGGTGTGAGGCTGCACCAGGAATGGGTAACGAGATGGGAGCCACCTGACAACGTCTTTCCTGTATGCAAGGTAGAAGGAGAGTATGGATGCCAACTGTGTTCTGGAGGTTGGCTCTAATGCTACACTTGCTTTCCTGACCAACCACCACTTGAAATGCTCACTCATGTCAGTAGGGTTCTACGCTGGCCCTCTCCATGTTTACGATCCTCCACATCTCACAGTCTGTGGTAGAAAAACACCTGTATGTAAAGGACTCCATTTTGAGGACTGAGGCTGCTCACAGCACCCGCGGGGGAGGCTTACCTTTTTTGCCCCTTGTTCTTCTTCCACACCATCTCCTATGACAACATACACCACTTTCCTTCCAAACCTTTGGATTATCCTCTCGAAACAGCTCTCCTTTCCTAGTGGGTAGGAGCAAAGGAGAGAGGTGTAACAGTGGGGTAGCCCAGTTTGACCATGCTGGGAAGCTTTGTTCATGCTTCCAATTACACCCCACCCCACCCAGGGAAACGTGTCTCACCACTTGAGAGATGAGAAGACAACACGATGTGGTAAAGGTTGTGAATTCCTTAGTAATATGTTAGCTGACTCTTGAAAATTGGTGGTCTGGGCCACACGATGCCAAGATAGCTATCAATGTGGCCTGCCATAAAATCACAAACTTAAATCCTAAGGGTTTTTTTTTTGTACCATTGCACAATTCTTAAGTATGAACTTTGACAATGCCATGTCTCAATGCCAAAATGTTGGACACCCCTGGCTGAAATACTCTTTTCTAAAGAACTTATGACATAAACATTGCAGTGTGTGTGTGTGTGTGTGTGTGTGTGTGTGTGTGTGTGTGTGTGTGTGTGTGCCGGCTCCAGTTGTAGTAATACACTCTTTCCTTCCAAGCTGAGACTTAAAAGGCATGCAATTATGGCAGCCTATTTTAACTTGACTTAAAAACTTGTTATACCAAGCTGAATGTAATACAAGACCAGTGAGAGTGATAAAAACAACCACTCCACTTGGATTCGGTATAGCAAAAGAAATCACACACTGGCATAGGCTTCTCTCTCCGCTTGCAGGTGGATAGAAAAGCACGCAAGGCCTACTGTCTTTGCTTAAAGATGTCTCATGACCATCCTCTTAAAGTAAATGTCAGGTATCACAGGCATGGGTACTACTCAAGACTGCGGCCACTTCACCCGGCCATCTCCTGCTCAGCCAAGCACCTTCCTAGAGGCAAAGCAGGATACAGGTAACAGAACACCGTTATCTGTCTGCTATCTTTCCCATGTCAGGACTTCCTCTGGGCTCGGCTGGCGGCTCTGCTGTCAGCACATCTCCGCAGCCAATGCCAGCATTGTTTCTTCTCAGAAGAGATCGGTGTTCCAGGTCTCAGCTGCCAATAAGGTCATTTTAATGGACAATGGGACAGTTTACAGTTCTCCGACATGAATGGCTGAGCAGGGCCTGCACCTCTTTCAAATGAGGATCAGATATACACATGAACAAATTGCTTGTTTGCTTAAACAAATGTCTGCTTTATATTTGTATTTTGCACTGAGATCTCTCGTTTGCATCTGACAAAATGTAATACAGCCAGCCTTAGTCAAAGATGCCTTTCAATGCTTTAGTTCTCCACCAAACTGTGAAATGTTAAATCACTTTGAGAAACAAATAGACAAAAAGCATTTTTCCTCGGATGGGAAAATCATTAGCTGTTTTGCAAAGCTGTATTGTGTTTGACTTGTGCAGAATGGAAGGTTCAATGGATGGCTATGAAAATGTAAACAGTTTTTTCTTTGTTCTTTTTTATTTCTTATAGTGTTAGGGATAAGACCCAGGGTCTTTCTCACAGGTTAGGCTAACTTCCCCTGGGCTAACACCCCATTCCCACAAACCCCGCAAATCCCTTAAAGATTATTTAAGGGTGAAGTTTGGTGGGAAAAAGAAAAGAAAACGTCTTGCTTGTGTACTGTCACCTACAGGCTTTATTGCAAACCTTGGGTTATACAGAGGTTTTTTTTCCACATGAAATATTAAAAAAATGAAGTTGGCCCCTTCCCTGGAGTGACCTCCACATTGACTTCATTGGATGACACAAGAAGCAATAATCCCAGGGCTTTCAATCTCGACTTTTATTATTTTCTCTTAGAAAATGTGTTAGCTTACAGAGCATGAGTGGTTCTTCGACTTCAGATGGGCAGATTTCCAATGTGGTCGGTTTATCTGCCTAGGCTCTCTGCACTCATCCCTGTCATGATAGACCCCGCTTTCCTGGTTAATCATGGTCATGCTGACCCCACTGCCTGTCAGCTTCCTTCCATACATAGGCTTTGCTTCTTTTTATTCAAACGCTGGGCACTGGAGCAATTGTGATGACAGAGAGGGACAAAAGGCCCCCAGGAACATTGCAATCTGGTGGGCAATTCACACTATAAACAAATAAGGAATTCAGTGATCACTGCGCAAATGCTTGGAAGGAGACATACAGGGCACTGAAAGCCTGGGGAGACGGGGTTGGACTTGAGGGAATCTGCTTTTGCCCTTCTGTCTTCAGGTGGAGTCAGCGGTCAGAAACAGCCTTCTTTCCACCTGTGAGGACACCATCCTCTTCCTGCCTTCCAGCAAGATGCAGGACACAAATGTATGCTGGCGGCTGATCCCCAGCCTCAGCATTTCATGGGGACTGCACAGTAGCCACTCGGGGACAATCACAAGGCCCTTGACATGGCATTTCTCTGTTGCCTTGATTTCATTAGCATATCTGCTAATAAACGCTCTTATTTGCCCTTCTCTACCCAGCAAATGCCATTTTAACTTCCACTCACACTGACCTCTGATCCCTCCTGGCTGGGCGCAACAGCTTCCTCAGTCCTGCACACCATCAGGCACTTAGCAGGGTATCTCCTTGTGGAGAGCATTTCAGAACAGAGCCACCTGAGGCTTGGCTCTTAGCCATCTACCCTAACTACTGAAGCCTGGGTGCTTATGTTTCCTCATTTGTAAAATGTAAAGATGAACATGCAAAATGCCTAGTACATGTTCTCCACATCTAGGACAAGCCTGCTGGAGGCTCATTTGCATATTTCTTTGTCATAATGGATTGTAGGTAGTTATTTGCTCCCCTTGAGGACAAGTCAGGACTTCTCATCCTTTTTTTTCTTAGTTTATATCCTGTGTTTCTTATCAGACTTTACGCCCCTCCCAACTATGTATTCTCCCTGTGGGGAGCCTCCTTTTTCTGTCTTCCCAGAATTAAAGTGAGAGGTCAATTTTTACACATACTGAGCTAAAACTAACAAAAACCCATTTTCAGTAAAGTAGAGAGAACTATCATGAACTGTTCACTTTGTATGGGTTCGTATTACTTTTGCTTCAGCTCACAAAATGTTTGTGTTGATGTTATCTAAAAGAATAAATACAGTGGCTCAGAATTTATGTTAAATCATTTGTACCTTACATGCCCAGTCTTCACCTTCCAGTAAAGTAACATTTTACCACTCGGTTACACGGGTTATATTTGCTATTTCCCATTCTTCCTCCCTTCTTCTGATACATCAAGAATTCTGAGAACAAGTTTCACTCACCGCCCTCCCGTTCACACTGGCCTCAGGAAAAAGGGTTAGCTGCAGACATGAAGAACTCACCTATTTTAGTCGCACTATAAATATTCTCTATTGGAAACACAATTCCTAACCCATACAGCAGGACTTTCGCCAACGCCGGGATGAGCTGGGTCGTCGTTACTAAAATATTCACACAGTTCGTCCTGTGAGAGCAGGAAGAAGAAAGGAAGACTGTTGACAAATAAGTCTTCAAGATAAGACAGCCTGAGCCAGGCCCACTTCCCAACCCATGCCCACGGGCGCCTCACCGGGAGTGGATGAGGGAGAGGGCCTTCAGGGCCAGGGTCAGCCAGGAGTCTGTGAGCGCTTCTATCTCGGCCCTCAGCTGGATCCAGGCTTCCCTCTTAGCTGGGCCGAGCAGACCTGAGGGGAAAAGGCCCATGAGACCCACGTGCTCACCCATGTGGCCATGCAGATCCATCGAGAAAAAAACATTTCGCAGAGACCACCACTGTCCTTAAGCTGAAAGTTTTCAGATGTCATTCAGTTGCAAATGTGTGTTTAGTTTGCAGGGCGCATCTGTCCTGACATTCCCACCGCCCTTTCTTCTGATAGACCCTCCCTAACTATGGACCAAGAGTAGAGCTGGCGTCCCTTCTGCCTCTAGGGTGGGTGTGTGTCCTTGGTCAGGTTAGGGATAGTGAGTCTTGGAATTTTGTCCGATTCTATGGTGTGATGTTTTCCCCTCCCTAGTTGAGAGAATAACTGGTAAATTAGAAGCCCTGACTCCTGGGCATCATCCTGCCACCTCCTGTGGGTGATCGACCTAGGACTGGCTCCTAGCCGGAGGGAGGCACCATATCCCTTGAGCATCTAGATCCAGCCATCCTGGAAACAGCCTCATCTATCCACCTTGCCTTGGATTACCTGACTCTTATTTCCTTTATACTCAAGCCACTTAGACTGCTGCGAACACACTGAAAAGACTCAGGTTCACACACACAGCACAGGGCTGGGAAGAGTGGAAGTTATAACCCATCCTGTATTGTGAACAAGGCTTTCTGGGAAGGACCACTGAGTGTGGGAAAGGTCAAGGAACTCACCCCAGGTCACCGATGGTCAGGCAATGGCATTAGGGAGCCAGGGCGGCTGGCTCTAGTCTTATATTTGTCACAAAACTGTAGTAGAATTTCATTTTACTTTTAGTTAGATGAAACTGTCCTTTTTCTGTTATACCCAACAATGTGAGCCCCAGAGTGAGCGGCACCTTGGGGATTTTATCTAGACTATCTGAAGGCAGCCCGCAGAGGCCTCCATCAGCCACTTGCCTCCCACATTGTTTTTGTAGGTGTTGTAGATTTCTTTTACACGTCTGTAGCGGAAGGCCAGCTTTCTCATCCAGTCCACACCGCCTCGGACACCAGTGGCCAGGCATAAATTAGCGCTGGTGGCTGCAGCAGGAAAGCCATCTGTCCCAAAGTTGTATGTGCTATTTAGAGTCAAGAAAAGCCCAGAGTTAATCAGACAGAAAATGCATCTTAATTAGCTGAACAATTCAACTCTTCACAGAGGAATGGTCAGTCTGTGTACCAAGGTGCTCACCTCAGGTCCTGGCCATTGTCATCTGATGAAACATCATCTATATGGACTTGGTCACATTCCTAAAATGCAATTTAAATGGTGTGTGTTAATTTTTAAGAAGCACCTTTAAAACAAACAAACAAACAAACAAAACAGTTATTTTAGAAACACCTTAACTGGCATGCTTTTCAACTGTGTCCATCAGTAGGTGGCAGTCTTGTTAAATTGACATTTTACCTATTTGGGGCCCCTTTCTATAAGAAATGAGCAATGTCATCAAGGACTACTGTTACTCAGCTTTAGAAAACACACTATTGTGTTTAGAAAGGAAAGTGATTGAAAACAATTAGCATGTGTGTTCCATAAACCTCAGGTACCTAAACACACCATACTGCTCAAAGCTTGATTCACAGAGTGCCTGGTCTAACTGAAACCAGACATTTTGGTAAATGCAACATGCTAGAAAAATTAAACCTGATGCTAACTGCCAATGATATTATGACCTCTGATTGCTGCTGAGCCACACACCAACAGAGCCTGAGGCCAGTGTGCCGAGGAGCCCAGACAAGAAATCTGTTACTGGTTTACTATTTATTTGAGAGATGTGAGTTTTATTCTCTCTCTCTCTCTCTCTCTCTCTCTCTCTCTCTCTCTCTCTCTCTCTCTCTCTCTCTCTCTCTCTCTCTCCTTCTCTTGCTCTCTTTCCTTCTCTTTCTCTTGTTCTCTCTCTCCTCTCTTTCTTGCCCTCTCCTCTCTCTCTCTCTCTCTCTCTCTCTCTCTCTCTCTCTCTCTCTCTCTCTCTCTCTCTCTCTCAGTGTGTGTGTGTGTATACACGTGCATCCACATGCTCAGGATTTAAAAAGCGTGGAAGAATTCAAAACTAAATAAAAATAATCAAGCCATATGGTGTGCTTTCCCCAAACATTTTCCTGTTCTTTTTACTGTTTTGCTAGCATTACATATTCATGGTACATACATAAGCACCGGGTTTACTAGTTTTTGTAGAATAACACTATTGTGAGCAGACATGGCGCATGCACCGCTCAGAACATATAGTCACAGTCATGGGCTGGAGCTCAGCTGCATAGGTCCCCAGTTTTTGCACCTGTTCACACAGAAACACCAAGTGAGCCTCCTCCTCCTCCTCTATGGCCAGCCCCTGTGGTGGCTGTGGGAAGAAGTGGCCCTCTGTCAGCATGAGTGATTTAGAAGTAGAGAAGGTGTCTAGTATAGAAACGAGCGATCCTCACACTTGCCTTGCTTTTATAGGTTGGTCACATCCCTGCCATTTTACTCAGTCTCCATATAACCCACTGCACCTTAGGATCCTCATTTCTATTAGCGTTTTCGTTAAAAAATATTATTAGGAAAGGGTTCTCCAGACAAAGGCTCTGGCAGGTTTCAGACAGAGTTAACTAACTCTAGCGTCTCTCCGCCAGTGAGCAAATTCAGCTCCGCCACAAAAGCACCGTAGTAATAGAAGGTAGGTTCTTCATGTTGCCGGCTCCTCTGGACAAACCCTCCTCTCCATGGGTTTGTGAGGAAGGCAGCAGCAGACAAGAGTGGAAAGAAATTCAAACCAGCTGTTCCTTCACAGCATTAAACATGTGACCCGCCCCCAAACTCTCCCCAAAGCCTCTCTCTTGCAGGCAGCCCTCTCCCAGCAAGCAGCCAGTTCCAAGGAGGAAAAGACTTTGACCTTGTAACCCTCCTCTGGCTCTCCTGAGGTCTTTGACCTCAGATAAGAAAAAAGGAAAAGCAGGGCTGAGAGTCCTTCCCTCCACACTGACTGAATTTAACATTCGCAAAATGAGTCATTCTCAGAGAACAGCAGGCATGCTGCTTCTCAGCATTAACACTCCAGCCTTAGTCCAGAAGACCTGGAAGACGGCACAACTATTTGTGTGTCCAACAACATAATTCTAGCTTTAAAGGGTTTCTGACTCAGGAAAAGAAATTTCAGAACTTTATCAAGCAATGCAACTTTTATGTTGTTTGTTTGTTTTTTTGTTTTTCGAGACAGGGTTTCTCTGTGTAGCTTTGCGCCTTTCCTGGAACTCGCTTTGGAGACCAGGCTGGCCTCAAACTCACAGAGATCCGCCTGGCTCTGCCTCCCGAGTGCTGGGATTAAAGGCGTGCGCCACCACCGCCCGGCAAGCAATGCAACTTTTATGTTGTTTTTAAATTTTTCTTCTTCAGCATAAGGAAAACCCTCAATGCCTTCAGAGAACTTTTCTCTCTTCTTGTGCAAGTCAGGAATTAGCGAGTTAAAGATGTGTAAAAATGGAGGGTGGGTGGGTTTGACTTCAAGGAATCAAAACTGGCTGAGAGTTCCCCAGCTAAGATGGGAAGAGTTGTTTGGAAAGCAGGGTGTAAGGAAGCCTGTGGTAAACTGATTTTGTTTTAAATTTCCACCCACTGAGAAGTGAGCAAAACAGTTGAGGACACATTGTTGCCATGGTTTCCCCACACCCAGTGTTTTGTTTCTCCTGCTAGCTGTGTTTAAATCTCATTGTTCCAGGCTGGACCCCCAGGTGAAGAAGGCCTGTTTAGTGTCTTTTAACTCTAATCAAAAGTCAACAGCTTCAAGCTTTTACCTGCAGTGCAGATTTTTCTCCAAGGTAGACTTGGTTAAAACAAAGGTCCCAGCGACAATGGCATTCTTGCTATCAGGGGAATTTTGTAAAATGATTTTAATGGAAGGAGAGTTTTAAAAATCAAGAGTGTTTTTGAATGGGCCTAGGTAGCACCTTGGAGAATGAAAATGCTTCTTACTGTCTAGGGAACAACAGGAAAGGGTATCTATCAGTGCTTTAAGCTCAAGTATATAGAGTCCCCGAAAAGGATCCATTTATTCCTGAGACTGTGGACTTGTGAGTAATGAGGAAGGTCATAAGTGTTCTGGATTGCCTATCAAACATTTGATTTCTGGAGCTGGGGGTATATCTCAGTTGTAGAGCATTTTCTTAGCATGTGTGAAGTCCCGGTTGGTCCTTAGCATTCAGAAGGACACACACACACAAATTAAAATACAAAGAAGTTTCAAAGACTCTCAGAAACCTGGAGATCACTACCAGACTTCAGTACCCTACACATGCCATGTGTTGCCTGTCCTACATGTGTTTACTACCAGACTGGAAGCCCTCCCTCCCTTCGTTCTTATTTCCTGTTCCAGAGGATGGACCTTTCTTCTCTCCATTTTCAGAAGCCACCCTGTCTTTCAGGGCTTTCAGAAGCTTTGGATTATTTTGAAAAAATCCATTAGGTGTTCACGGTCATTTGGGTTTGCTTGCTTTATAATTTCCAAATTTGCCTTAAAGAACTAGATAACGGAGGGAAGAGGTCAGGGCTCCTTTTCAGAGCCCCTGGTTTTAAGTTGAATGAGCCCTGGCTCCAAGAAACAACACAAAGTTCAAAGCCACAAGGATTCTGTAGATTTGAGAGACAAAAAGAGAAGCTAAATGCATTTCCAGGTGCCAAAAAAGTAGGTCTTGAGAAACTCAAGCTGGGTGCTTGCTGCAGAGAGCAGGGCACACAGAATTCCAGGGGGAAGTAAGCTTTTATTCCCCAAGCATAACAAACACGCTGGCAACGTGCTTTTGAGGTGAACTTTCAGAAATTATGTGATGGGCTGTGAGGGGCTGAAACCACTGGTGAACGCAAGTCCTGGGGCAGCACTCACACTTCTGGGGACCATGGCCAAGTGGGCATTATTTTACAAATTAACCTGCAGCACTGAGGCTGGAGAGTGCGAAGAGACTCCCACTTTCTGGCCTGAGACCCCGTGACTACAAGTGGTTGGGGTGGGGGGGTGGGGGGTGGGGGGGCTGCGCAGAGCTAGTGACTGCAAGGACTCTGGACAGAGTCTGTACGTCTGCCCAGCTGAGCTGGCTGCCAAGCTGGTGCTCATTCCTGCAGCCATTGTCTGTGAAGAGCAGCTTCCTTCCAGTACTGCTTCTGGTGCTGAAAACATAATGGCGAATGCAACACAAAACCTCATCCTACCAACTAGCCTCTTAGTAGGGGAGCCACGGAACAAGAGGACAGGCAAACAACCACCTAGTACGTCTGGTAAGGCTGAAAGCTAAGGACACATACAGCCAGCCAAGGGGGACACGCAATGCTAGGTGAGTTCAGAGAAAAGAACCTTGTAGGCAAAGGGAACAGCAAGTTCAAAAGCCCTGAGGCAGAAGAAAGAACCCAGAGAGCCGCTGGGCATGGAGGTCACAGCAAACAGCACTGCCCCGGAAGCCGTGGACAGGGTTGCTCTCAATGCACTCACGGTGCGGCAGGAAAAGGTCTGATCTAACTTTCAAAGACAGATTGATTCTACCTGTGGTAAATGCAAGAGCAGCTCTGGAGTCCAAATGAATCCCCTCCTGCTAAGACTGCAGAGGTCTGAGGAATTGATGTTAGCTTGGTTAGTTTTATGACAGCGGGACTCTCATGTGCAGATAAAGGGTGGTATTTTAGGAAGGGTCCCTTGAACTGTGATAACAGGACAAGACAACTTTTAGGGTCTTAGACTGGCTTGCCAGTCCTTGTCCTTCTAACAGCATTGGGGTGGGCAGAGAAGGGGGCAATTATTGGGCAAGCCTTCACTTTCTTTCTCAAAAACTACAGATGGCATTCTGTGACATACAAGGCTCCATGGACCAAGCCAGCAGCCCAGATAGGCAAGAGAAAAGACTGGTGAAGAAACCCTGTTTCTCTGGATCCCCAAATCTACACAGAATCGGTGTAGAGTTGGAAAGAGATCATATGCGAGGAGGAAAATGCTATTTATGCTGAAGACTTTTAAGCTAGAAACTTTGCATAAGGGAAAAACAACTGGATAGCAGAATATAGAATTATAACATTTAAAACCACTTTTAAATGCACTTTTACTGTGTATGTGATATATGTGTATGGATACAGGCCACAGCACATGTGTGGAGGTCAGAGGACAGCTTTTTGGAGTCATCTCTCCCCTTCCATCATATGGGCCTCAGAAATCAAACTCAGGTCACTGGGCTTGGCAGCAAGTGTCTTTACCTGCTGACACATTTTGCCAGCCCATAACTAACATTTTAATCTAACC